ACAATACCAAAATGCCTCTGAGGTCTCAACTTTTAAAACATGAGCAAATAAGACAGATAAAGCCCCAGATGAAAATTCATTCAAGCACACACAGGAGCCAAGAGGCTGAAGAACAAAGGAGCCACATTTCCATGACTTCCAAGCCATTGTATGGACTACTGGGGCAATCGAGTTCTGATGGTATTTGGCTGAATTCCATCCAGCCCCTACCCCAAAAGCTGGTCACTAGGCTGGAAGCAGGGAGAAGCCCATATGCAGGAGCCTCCTCAGCTTGTGGAACAATGGGGGTCCTCTGCAGCTGGTCACAGCACTTCTGCAAACACAGCAGCACCATCATAGCCACCAGTGAATTAACACAGCAGCTGGACCACTTGTTTCACCAGCAGTTGCTCCCCCAAGCCATAAGAGGTCCTGCAATCCCCCTGTCTCTGGGATTTGCAGTGTGGTAGAGGCAAGCAGGGAGGTGGCTGAAGCCCTGCAGAGCCAGAGGCTGATGCCACTTCCTCGGCAAGGGAGGAGAAAGGGGCAGACTGAAGCACAGCACCATGATCTTATGCAAACCCCACAGAAACCTCAGTTCTCAGGGGTTGGATGCTGCACAGTGTGAAAGTTGCACATTTATTGGCTAATCCTTTACTGTTCTGTGGTTTAATGTTCTCCACATTTTATTTTCTGCTAAGTGGGGATGGGGAAAAAAATTAGTTTGACTCCAGTGATGTGTATTTTTTGTGTTTTGGAGGGGACACCAGAAACTGGAAAATCTCCAACTAAAAAAATATATGTGCATCAGTTCTTCCCCTTCCTCATAACTTAGATTGTTCTCAAATGTATAATGAAATGTGGAAAAACATTTAAATGTGAGGAGTTTTGCCTTTGACTAGGAATATCTTGAATGATGTTAGCTGGGAATAACACAGGTCTGTGTGTTTTTCTTGGAAGGCCAAAATTCATTTACTACAGACCTTTGAAAACACCTGTGCACTCTCCCATCTCACTCCTTCAGTATCTTCCAAAAGTCCCCAGACCCCAAATACTTCTTTAGGGTGTTTTCAGGGTTTCTGTTACTCAGTTAGAGAGGGACCCCCCTTTTGAGGATCTGTGGAGGGTTGGCTGGCACGCAGGAATTCCAGCCAAGGCGTTAAAAAAACATCAAGCCAATCTTGCAAGGACAGACTTGTTCTCTGATAAGAACCATTTTGTTAAGCAGAAGGGCACTTATGAAAAAGATACGTTCTATGCAAATTTTCTATTTAAACACCTAAGTACTTTAACCAACAATATTTTACAAAAAGGCACTTGTAGCTTAAGCTGACAGCCAGGGTTTGGAAACCTCTCTTTCATCTGTTTTTGCCAGTCTTTCAAGTCATATCTGCAAACAAAGCATAGAGAAAAAAATGTTTCTAAATGCTTTGTTTTGAAGCTCTTGACTTCCTCCTGCCTGTTGGATCATCTTCACTATTAAATCAGACCGAATGCTCAGTGACTATCAGTACTGTGAGTCAGAGTTACCATATGCGCCCACAAACCTGCATTTTGCTGTCATTTGAATATAACAACAAAAAAATGGTAACTCTGTTAAAGAAAAGAAATGAAACTCTAAAAAAATTGCCCTGTGAAAACACAGCATTAGATTCCATTCTCCAGGTTCTCAGAAATCAACAGTCTGGACACATTACCAAATTCAAAGAACCTTGCCAGGCACACTTAGTGTTCTACAGTATCAGAAATCTCTACATAGACCAGCTGTAAGGCTGGAATCAGCTCAAGGGATACAAGAAGGTATGATTACACAAGATTTCTAATTCAACTTTGAAGATTCAGTAGGGATCTGATCCAATGCCTACTGAAGTAAATGGAAAAAAATAGACTTATATCTGAGTTTAGACCTATTCAGTTTGGATACAGTTCAGAGAAGTACTCATGCTTGGCAGCTGATGTAAACTAAACCATTAACCTATCATTAGAAAAAAAGGTGCCAGAATAGATCTGTATAAGGACAAATCTGTGAAGTATTTTTTTATGATCTGTCTAGCCATTCCAGATTCCAACACATTAGCAGAGAGGTAAAACAAAGTTTTGGCCTATTTATACATGTGGAGATTAAAGATCTGATCCTGCCCTTTTGTCAATTATTGCCACAGATAAATGCAAGTTTATGAATAAGTAATGACTCTTTGTGAAATTGGTGCTGCTCCCAACACTACTTTCCTTTAATTGCTGTTCCTTGACACTTTCCTTCTGTGTGTAAAGGAATAAAAAATTTATCACAATAATTAGATAAAACTCTATGAAGTCATTCATAGCTCATTTATATATTAGTATTTTAGCAGCAAAGTATAACAGAAATTGACTCAAACCATAACACAGTATTAATTGCTAATTCGTTTACCATTATGACTGGAATGCCTTCTAGCATTCTAAGTTTTAATCCATATAAACAGCTAAGGAATGCTCTATCTCAAAACATGTAATTATGGGGGATTATATTACAGCTCTAGCATTCTGGCAAAAGCTTGCAATGGCAAAAGATATAAAGTAATACCAGCCTTATTGTGATTTCATAGAAACAGGAAAAAAACCCCTCTCTTTATCACTACAGCACATTTGGTGTTTAGTGGCTCCTTTTTTTTAAATTCAGAGATAGAGGTTTTCATTTACAGTTAGAAACTTTTTCATTTACATTCTCTCTTGTTCATGTCACTCCTCAAACCAAGAATTTAGCAGAGCTAGAGTTTATTCTCAAAATTTCTAATACAATTTGTCTACATCCCCACCATACATGCTACATTCTTTTAAATCAGGAAAATGAAAATCCAAACAAATCAAAACACAGATCTTTGGTTTTTGCTGAGAATTAAGTGGCTGTTATGTACATTGTCTGCTGGCTAAGGGACAGCATATTTAAGTAACAATCATGCTTACAAGTACAAGTGCTTTTAGACAGAGCTCATTTTAAATCAGTGTATCTAGCTCATGGGCATTTATATTCTTTTTGAAAAAAACACAACTGTCTGAAGCATTTATTGTAAGGGGTCTCAGCCACAGAGGTATAAAAAGCAGAAGACAAACTTCACTTTCCTTTCTCAGGATGATTTACGGGCTTGACACAAGAGAGATCTGCTCAAATATCTGAAATATTTAGGTCCTGGGAAACTCTCTCCCTTCCATAAGAGTAGAATCCTCACAAGTGGGCACTCCACAAGAGTGAGATGAGACAGGGAGAGTGGCCCCGGGGGAACAGCAGAAAGGAGAACTCCCCACCTCCTTTGTCCTCCAGCCATTCAATCTGCTCCTTTAAGATTTGTAACTTCCCATCAATTTAAGCCCTGGATTTTCCTAAGCAGAGCGGGAATGCAGGAGTTGATGACCCTGCTGCCAGCCCACCCTGCCCTGGCTCTGGTGGCCCTCCCAGCTGGACCCAGGAGCACTCAGTGCTCTGTCTGGGAACACTTGGGATGAGGCTGCATTTCACCAGCTCCCACCCTGCCCAGGGCTCCCCTTATTCATTGATTCTCCTTCTTGCCTGTAGCAAACAACCAGTGCACTTCTTGCTTTTCCCCAAAAAGCAACAACTCTCTTTTCAAAGAGATTGAGGCTTTGCACATGTTAGTAGCAAGAGACTCTGCTGTCCTTTGATGGTTATCAGCTGCTCCTGTGGGCCCACAGAAGTGTCCCCTCACTTCCTGCCTGCCCTCAGACCTTCTTGAAATTAAGTGATAAACTTGATTGTCCTTCTCCCCAGCCGACCCTTAGGTTTCTCATTGACTCTACAAATGAAAGCCCTGATTTTCAGCATCCTCTGCTGGATTACAGCCTTCCAAGAGGCCTCTCTTTCCTTTCAACCCCTTTAGAAGGGGTGCATTTGACAAGATATATCAATATTTTGCAATAAATGGATATAGTCAGCTTTTCCTATGACTTTCCCACTAAATAAACAGAACTTTTATGAATTTTAGGCCCTGTTTTCTCCTTTTCACTTTAACTGAAGCCATGGAAAAACTCCCAGACTGATGGCTTGAAATGGATTTCTGGTGGATGTGTTTTTAAATCCAAGTCTTTTGCACTTTGGCAACACAGTGTCATTTTCACTTAATTTTCCTGACAACTGGCCAATAAAGCCAAAAGTCTGTTTAGCAAAAGTGAATTAAAGTGCACCTTTCTCATCTGAAGAAATAACATCTGCTGTTCTAAAGATAACTTGTTATTTCTCATGGAAACAAGATATTTAATATCTGAATCTTGTTTGTTTTCATCAAGACCTGGAAAAATAACAATAAACTGACTTATTTGGAAAGAAAAGTTTGTTTTTGAAGCACATGCGTTAAGAAATGTAAGATCCTGCCCTTCCTGCTCTGCTTGTCACTGAAGTTTTAATTTTGAATATTTCAGTATTCCAGTATTAAACCTGATGAATTTGATTCCAAGTGTAAGTAAGTTCTTTCATCCCGTGAGTCATTCAGCTTCTCTCTGGATGGGAGTTTTACTGATTCAAAGTTTTCTGTTTCGTAAACAAGCTCATCATTTTTCCATGGAAAATCATCACCTTACAAATGGATCTTGAAAGGACTCTCTGCCAGCTGACTAGTATCCCCCCCAAAAAAATTACAATGGTTTAGGTGATATTTTTTTAAAATCCATTAAGTTAGCCTAGAAGAAAATCCTTACAACCTAAATCAGTGGAGATTTAATGGAAGTCTGTGAATTTAGCTGGAAAGTATTTTTCTAAGCATTTGGCAGATTAAATTTCTCAATATCAACAAACCTCTAATGTCACTTAAGTCCTGGAAATAGGGTTTATTTGTCTTATGGATTAATAAAGCTCTCTCCCAAGCACTGGATTTCATTCTTTGTGAAGCCAGTGTCTTATGCAGCACTGAGTGGATAACAAGGCATGCATTTAATACATAAAAATCAGAGTCATGAGACACTGAAAGTTAATTATAATGTAGCAGAGTTTAAGGGTCAGGATTAGCAGGCTAAGATTACTTGTCAGTTGCAGTAAAAAGACCAGGGAAGAAGAGGTCCATCACAGTAAGGTAATAAGAGAGGGCATTAAAAGGACATTTGTGGAGACTATTTGTTTTGTTTCAGGTTTGTTTTGTTGCTGGGGGGCTTTGGGAGGTTTTTTGTTTGTTGGGTTTGTGGTTTTTTTAAAGGAAAAATCTGCATTTGAAAATTGGTCCCAAGTATCCAAAAATTGGAGGAAGTAATTTGATTTTTGAACTTTAAACTTTGTGTTCTTTAAATCAAAAGCTTTAACTTTGTATACTTTTCTTTTCCTGGCATTGGTGAAGCACACTTTCCCTCTCATATTATTTCCATTCCAACCTTGTGCTATGAAAGGAAAAAACTTATGGAAAGAACATAGTGCCTTGATTGTCTCTACATATTACGTAAATTAAAAAAAAACACAACTAAACAAGCTAAGCAGCATTTGGGACTAGATACATGTTAAATACAAGTTACAATGAGAAACAGACGGTACCAACTATAGGCAGAAGTGACATTTCATTTCCAGATACATTCCACTTCCATGTCACTTTAGCAGCATTTATCACATGCTAAAAATTAGATTTGGCTGGCAAAGAAAAAGGTACAGAAGAAAGGTATTTGTCTTGGCTTATCCAGAAACTTTCAGCTGTTTGTATTTAGGGAGTAGAACTATTTAATATGGGCCTGGTCCTCAAGACTGTCCTCAGTTTCATATTCACTCCCTACTCTGGAAAACTTTCCAGTTGACTCCAGTGGATATTTTGCCGAGGTTTAAATTTAACTGAGAGCTAGTGCAGAAAACTTTTCTTCACGTGATTACTGCTGGTAATCAACCTCCTTAAAGTCAATGAGAATATTTACTTGAATTGTCTTAAATGTTCTTTGTAACCTTGAACAAAATATTTTACCATGGGGTCAAGTAGTTTTGATAATTCATCAAAGAATAAAAAAATGTATCCTTCAGAAAGCTTCACAGAAAATTAAAAATCCTACCAAAAAAAAAAAGAATTCCCTTCACCCCCAAAACAAATAAAATGCAACTGGCTATGCACTACTTAAAATAGCTGATTTGGTGTCCTTGAGATATGGGGGACCAATGACAGCCTTAAAAAATAAACCTCCCTTGTGTGTGTGAGACATACACAATTTCTGGGATTTGTCACAATTTTGTCCAACTGTTCTCTAAAGTGCACATATGCTGCTATTCCTATTCCTAGCCTTTGTGGTTAGGTTGCCAGTAGCCAAGTTTCCAAAATAAAATCTGAAGCTCCTACAGCAGACAAAAGTGTCCGGTAACACGGTCCAGTACAGTTAGAGATTAGACTAGTCAGTAAATAAAATAATACATCACTTATTAGTTACAGGCCGGGGGAAGCCAAGCCCAGGAGGTGGGGAGGACCAGCACACGGCTGCCAGACACTGCTAAGCCGGCACAGAGCGCTAAGTAGGGCAGCAGCAACCGAAATCAAAGGTTCACAAATTGGCAGGACACATTCTTTTGTTGCACAGTCACTGGTATTTGAAGGGTGAAATCCAAGCTGTGCTGAAGTCACCAGGAAAAGTTTCTGTGAGCCAGGACATCACCTTAATGGAAAGTAATTAACCTCACTATTCCTGCCAAGAGTTTGGGTCTGTGGGCACCAACCCATTAAGCCCTGAAACTCGCCTGCGCTACAAGAGCAGTCATTGCAAAAATGTGCAGAGCATGGCAGGAAGAAAGGTTGTCCAGGCGAGGTTTGCACACTGTGGTGGTTGCATGGTTATATAGGAGAGTGTCTCCTTTTCCAAGCCAATATCAGTGATAATCAGCAGTGATGTGGAAAGAGATGATGAAAAATTACAAGAGAGCATTTCAAATTCAGTTTTGGCTGTAGGCAAAACTCACAGCTTCCAACAGCTCTGTCTGAAGTATGGAAAGCAGCCCAACTCAGTGCACTGGGACCTCAGAATGGGCTTAAAATTGTGTCCATATTTTAGGCACCCAATTTCTCCCCTGGTGGAAGAAAACCAGTAAAAGCTAACTTACCATATTGAACATTGCTTTTACTTCAAGATCCTGTTTCTCTTTGCTAGGAGAGGAGACCTTTTAAACTTCATATGTATAAACCAGAGGTTTACTGGAATTGCTCCCACAGCATTCACTGACAAAGATAACACTGATAATTCCTGTGCACCATTACTTTGTACTGAGTCAGGCTAGATTAACTGAATTTGGTAAGGAAATCCACTCAGAGAGGAAGAGGTCTTGACTCATTACCATGGGAAAGACAAAAATCAAGCTGATTAAAAACACTAAGTGTTCTAAAGCATGAAATAAAGTTTTGTCTCCTCTGTCACTGAATAACATCTTCCAAAGGAGTGGTTTGAAGCCTTTGTCTGGATGGAGGGATAGCAGAGGCATTTTGGAAATATGTCAGTGTTTATTTCCAACTTTACAGAAAATATTGTCCCTCCTCTCAGATGAGCATCTGGCCATGATGAGCCAAATAGCTGTTGATTACCATAATTCACTGTCTCTGGAGCTGGATGTGAACATCACACATTTCCAGCTTCCAGAAAATGCCCTTTCTCCCAGCAGAGACCACCACAGCTCCAGCAGGCCCACATTCCACTGGCATTCATCCAGCTTCCTCATGTCAGTGCGGCTATGCAGCGTTGCATTTCAGTGCAACCATCAGGCCGCTGTTTGTCTTAGAAACACACTCTGCTCAAGGGCACTATGAAACCTGAACTCCTGTGATACACACTGGATCTCAAAACCCGGGAGAAAGTACATAGAAACACTAGGGAAAGCATTTCTAACTCATTGAAATCACTTCTCAAAGAAGGTCACAGACAGGCTCTGGCCACTCAGAGGAGACGACAAAACTTTCCCCTCCTCCCCACAATCCTTTACCACCAGAAAAGTAAACAGCAACCAAAGTAAACTTTAAAAAAATTAAAATGATTACCAACTTTAAAAAACAATCACTACTGAAAAACTAAATATTCATCCCAAATACCAACTGTCTGCTAAACAGAATTTTTACTCTGAAAACACTCATGTTTGAAAAGTTCAAAGACTGCAGCAGGGGTTTTGTCAGTATGGCAGACAGGATGTAAGTGTGTATTAGCACAGAGAACAGATACTTATTACAGTGGGGGCTTGGGTATGGTTCTGGTTCACTGTTGTGAAAGCACAGACTTCTTTGGGCCCTGTATTAGGATGATAAATAATGTTCTCCAAAGTCAGTCATGTCTAGAACCATGCAGAAACCCTGAAATTTATATCATCAGCATTATTATGAATATGATTAACTCTTAAAATTGCCCTTGGTTCAGATGAATACTCTAAAAATTGTTATCTCTGAAGGGGATTTGTGAAAGTGTTTTTATTCTTGTTCAAAAAGTGTCCTGAGGTTAGGATTCAGTGATAAGAAGCAATAAACATTCATAACAGACTTTTTCTGGTACAATAACTACAGATTATACAGGACATAGTCAAGTGAACATTACTGAAATTGGCCTGATATTAGATACCCAGAGCATGTTTTCAGACTTGTTGGTTCTGATTGCAAATGAGCTTGTCTTCCATTTTAACTACAGTTCATTTCCAAGGAGCAATTTCTACTGTTTTAAAACCAGTCTGTACATGTTGTACCTAAAAGCAAATTAAGAACATTTAAAGATGGGAAGCAGCATTGTGTGTATTTCCAGAGAAAACAGCCATTTCAGCAGAAAATCATGGCTGGCAGTAAATGCTTGACCATAAGCAGCCTGGCAGCAGAGATGTTACGTGGCATGGTGGTGTATCTCCAAAAGATTAACCTGATTGATAAAAACTTACTAATAAATTTATTTTCCTTTGGCTTTACAGGCAGTTTCAGAGAGTGTAAATCCTTCTAGGAGTGAAAAAATCTAAAAAAATCAATGAAGTCAAGAAGGGCTTTTAATGAATCAGTGTATAGTCCATGTGTTTTCACACATCTTTGAGATAAAAAAAATATTTTAAAACATCTTCTTTGTGTTTCTGCATGAGCAGAATTATTTGTTGGGTTATTCACATGGGGCTTACAATATCCCAATTCCACCTGTTTTATAACTTACTGTCACTTCTTTTATCCATAACAAGGGTGCAACGCCTACCTGAGACCCGATCTGCTCCCTTCTGCCTTTGATGTTCCTCACTCTGCGCCAGGGGTCACAGTGCTGGCAGACATGCCAGGGGGTATGAATGATTTAAAGCAACAGGTGAAAGTCTTTAAATGAGTGTATTTACCAGCACCTTTCAAGGACTCTGTATCAGCTATGCTTGATCGTATTCCATGAGCGTTCTCAGATGCACTTTCCTTTGTGTTGCTGTTTAGTGGCACGGTCACATTTCATGTAAGTTTGCTATTCTGTGAATATCGCATGTTCATCTTGTAAAGCTGGACTTGTGTGGATGGTTAATCTCCTGGGCTTTCATCACTCAATATGGGACAGATGCACTTCAGTGTTAAGCAAACTATTAATATTTCCTACATTTCCCATGGAAATACTTCTGCCTGCATCTCATCCACTTACTCGTTCTGTCTTTAACATTCGCTTCTGCTGCCTCCTCTTAGTGCAAGAATCTGAAGCCTCCTATGCCCTAAACAATTTGCTGGTTTACCTAGCTTCCTTCAAATCTTTTTCTTTAAAAAACACTTCTAAAGCTACATTATCCCACAAAGTTTTGACAGCTCATCACCCCCTGAGGCATGGCATGACCTTTAGCTAGAATTCCAACACTGAGCTATGATCAGATGCTCTTCTTTTGCATAACTGCAAATTAGAAGAATCCCTACTCTTATCTTCAAATGCTTCCCAAGATGTCACATTTGCATGACAGGTGTAGTGATTGTAGACCTAATTGTGGAAAAAAAAAATTAAATAAAAAAAATCAAATGCAAAACCTGCAAAGTCCCCTAATGCAAGGAAAAAGATTTTGAGGATTATAAAGTGGAAAGAATGTCATTAGAGGTCATCTGTAAATATTGCTCTGTCCACTAAAATAACAGACACAAAAGCAACTGGGAGAACATGTAGTCCTGATCTCAGGCTTTCAGTACTGAAAAATTCTGTATTCAGCAAGGAAATAATTTCTTTCCTTTCTTTCTTGCTCTGCTTTCATTCATCTCATAGCAATATAAATCATGCAAAGTAAGGGCTAAACAAAAATTATTCCCAGACTGGAGAATTATTCCCAATCAGTCAGGATTTCCTTGGTAGACAACATGAGATTTACTAAACAAGCAAAATTTTTTCATAGAACAGCAAGATTGGCTCCTAATGCTGATAATAGATGCAATGCTAATAAAAGGTTGGAGAGCAGATCAGGAACTAGGAATAGTCTGTTTTAATCCATGCTACGTCACTGTTTAGTCATAATGCTGAGAGGAATGTTACACAACTCAATGCCTTTTCCTACTACAATATGCTTCTAGTATGTAGCTCTAATGCTGAAAATAATTCGTTAGTAGTTCCAGTAGCCTCAAAGAGAAAAATGAAGGGGTCACTCAAATGTGTCCTTGAGTTCCTGGCAGCATCCTGTAGCACATCAAGAACTTAACGATTTCAGGAGTTTAAGTATAGGTGAATTATATTATTAAATTAAATTAAAGATTTTTAATAAAAATAAATAATTAAAAACTGCAGAAATTAAACACGCAGTCTTGGCTTTAGACTCCATTTGCAGATTGATAATGATCAGCACCTGTAAATCCTCATGGGCAGTGAAATGCTGGAAGGGAAAGAGAACGTTTTCAACAATAGCTGATGTCTGCATCAGCAACAAAAACAGTCTCTGAGCACTGGCATCAAGGAGCATTTGATGTGAACAAAGTGACATCTTGTTTCATCAAAGGTTAATGAGTACAGCAGCTCTGTCAGCAATACATTAAGACAGCAGTGTCACTGTTCGTCATACTTGGTGAGTTCAAGGCAGGCTGCAAGCATCACCATTCATGGATTTGTAGGGGTTTCTGCTCTCTCCCGGCTCAGTAAGTTCAATGTGACAAGTTAAAATTTCCCCATTAGCAACTCTTTATGCTATTTTTCTGTAGGGCAAAAGTGTTTTTGTAAGCCTGGTACTTGTGCTGACTGGAAAACTAGAGGCTTTTCTCAGTAAATTTAGTTAAACTAGAAAGTATTAGAGAAGATGTAATAAAGCATTATTAACCTTTTCTTTTGTTTTACAGTTTTCTGATAAAAAGCTTTTGATGGATTTTTTTTTTTGAAAATTTAATATTGCTGAGTTAAAGACTTTATTTCCAAGCAAATATATTTGTGTAAAACTTAAAGCTTGGATATTTATCTGTAACTGTCCATGAAAATGAATGGAAAAGTACATATCAGCATTAATGGGGAGACAAAAAAAAAGCAGCAGTGAATTGCTGTATAGCCAAATTTCAGCACTATGCACAAGTACTTCTACTAGATTCAGTCACTGGGCAGTGCTCAAAGATATTACAACTGACTTCTGGGCTGATAGTAATTTCTCTTAGTATCTCAGGAAATTATTATGGGGCTGAATAAACACCTGACTATAGGGAAGATTAAATAAGACTGCATGCATGAGTAAGGGTTTGGGATCTGGACCTTTGATGCAATAGCACTTGTTGAATTCTGTCATTCAAGCTCACAAAAAATGGCAACTTGTTTCCCTGATGGATAATGCCGTTGCCAATATTAATATTTCTCTAGCTGTGAACATGTTTCTTCACCTCACATGCTTCCAGTATCCATGACTGAAGTCAAGGATGAGAAGCTTCTTTCTGCTTGAGAGCTGCCCAGATGAGGTAAAAGTGTTTGCAGCCTCTAGCAAGTCAGCTGTGCTATGCAGTGTTTATTATGCTACCATCCTAGGAGTTGTGCTCATAATGCTGCTGAAAGTGCTTCTGAGTCCCGATGCTATTGGCAAGCTGGGGCTATTTTCAAAGGCTTTGGTTCTCCTTCCTCTGAGGGCTGAATGACTAATTTAGGACAGTATTTTCTCTTAGCAACTTTGCTTTGCATAAGACAAACTTTCATCTCAGTCTCCAGCCAGACAAACCTTACCAGCTTAGTGCACAAAGGTCTTGTTTACGTCACTGCATATCTGTGTTTCACAAGACAACCTGTACTTTATGGAGCAATCGTAGAAAAGGTGGTTCAAATGGAGCTCAGGGGCCTTGCAGTTATCAGGTATTCTTATGTAATTCCTGACAGACACTTGCATAATCCTGTTCTAAAAATCAGAGGTTTTTAAAACAGAGGTTGTAGATGTCCCACTTAATGCATTCAACCTTTGCACTGGAAAGGTTCCTTCTCTTCCATAAAATATGTACCTTACCTCTTTCTTGGTGGTAAGGCTCGATTTTGTCACTGTGAACAAGCAAGTCAGACTATTGCTCTCCTTCCTGCTGCCCTTTCTAAAGCTAAGCAGATATTCTTTTGTCTTCTCATTTTTTCTTCTCACGTTTCCCATTTCCTCTATGGGAAGCTGTAGCAGCTTTCCTGAATCAGATTATGCAGTGATGAGGATTTTAATTTGTACCTCACCTGTTCTATTCAAGCACAAAGCAGTCCCATCTGTGTTGTAAATCTTATTGTTTTACTTTTTAGCTAGAATTTCATCCCATTTGCTAAGGATAAAGATAACTTCAAGTTTGGAGATTTTCTTTTGGCAAGTCCATTCTATGGTTTTCAAAGCAGAGGGAATGAAGACAGGCATGACTTTTGCCCTGGTTTCCTAAGGATAAGAGACCTACACAATCATGCTACACAAGACTTTCTGTCCACCCATCCCACCCCCATAACAACTTCTGATCCTTTAGGTCATGTCAGCCTGGTTTGACAAGAATGAATAGTTCAAAGACTGAGTTTCTGCAAGACTTGGAGGGAAGGGGAAGAAAAAAAAAAAGGGTAACCAGCTGAGGATAAGAGTATGAAACAGAATAAGCAGATAACATATCAGATATTCAGAATCTTTTTAGGAGAGACACTTAAAAATATCTGTTTTTCAGGACAAATTTGCCTTGAGGAGCTGGAGTAGCCTAGAGCACATATTGGACTTCCCAGTTCCAGTACTCTCAAATCAATTTGCACTAACATGGAAAATAAGTTTGAAAATAAGACATTAAATTCTCTGTGAATAGGGTTATTATTTCTGTGAAGCACCTTTCATCAACAGATCTGAAAGCATGTGACAAAAGGAGGCCTTGAGCATTATCTCTGGTTCATGAAGAACTGAGAGGTGATGCAATTTGCCTGAGGTCACTAGATCAATGGAGAACCCAGGTGCCCCTGGAGCAGTTTCCCATCCTGCTTCAGGAACATCTCAAATAGAATCTGGTTACTTTTATTTTGCTATCCTATTTTTCCCTCTGTAGACTTTACACTCACATGGGAGAGTGATCTAAGTTACTTTTATTTTTACCTGGCAGACACAAACCAACAGAAAGTAGCACACCTCAGATTTTGACAACTGTATTCAAGTGAGTATCCAAATGTTGAACCATTCCAATAAAGACAGTTACTTTTAAAAATTAAGTTATCACTATCTGAATTAAGCAAGGTAGTTCAAAATTAATCTCCAGTCCCAGATGACTGACGGCAGAAACTTGCTGAATTCTGGGTTGGGTTTACTACGCTTGTCCAGAAAAGTACTATTTGCTTCCTCATAAAAATCAGGTAATACTTGTGTCCTCTTAATCTCAACATATCATTTGCTTACCTTTAGATATAGTCTAGGATATTATGTAGCCTTAACTGTTGTATTCAGCTATCCCAAATAATTCTGTTCCATAATCAATATCCTTCCACAAACAGTTTCTAAAAATCATTCAGTCTGAAAGAATGTCACACTGAAAATGAAATTTCATGGGGGATCCATACTCATTTTGTCAGAACCTCTTTTATTACTCTGAAAAATCTATTCAGTATCAGTGATAGAGGATAAAACACAAAACAGTGTCCCCCTGCTAAATATTAACCACAAAGAATGATTAATTGGAAATAAGCCTTCCAATTGCAATTCCATCTAAATAACTAAATAAATGAATTGCTAAAAGCACTGAATCCCAATGATGTCTCTAAGATGTCAGGAAGGTGAAAAAAGTAGCTTTTACCATACAACTACATTTAAAATTAAATTATCCACCAGCCTCCCTTACCCATCATGAGTGGTCCTTCTGACATCTTCACTTCAACTATGCAGATTTGAAGAACCTTAAAATGGTAGGAGATGGACATTGAGGAGATCTGATAACGGTAAGTGGTACTTGAGTTTTAAACCTAGTTAGGGATACTTTATTCTGGCCATACCAAGATCTTGGCATGCGTGTGCCTTCATCAACTGGTATAACAATGCTAATGTTGGGATTACTGCCCTGAGCCCCAGTGAAGCAGGCAGCCCCTCTCTCCAAGACAAGCATTCACTTCTGTCACCAGCAGGCCGAGCTGGCCAAGCAGGATTCTGACTATAACTGAGATGATGCATCACATCTATTCCAAATATTTTTTATGCTTATACATGTATCTACTTCTGCTTGGATGTTTTCATTTGAGTTTTCTTTTTTTCATTGTAGTTTTGGTCATTGTTTCACTTAGACACTTTAGCAAATGTTTGATTTTCATCATGTAGTTAATGGAGCCATCTTTTACAAAGCAGGGATTCTACAAAATAGACTTTTTCCACCTTACATGCAAAAAGGACTTAAACATGTTTATGCTTTGTGTTGACCTGGAAACATTGTTCTAGTGACAGAAGCACAGCTGGTGGCAGCAGTCACCATCTCAACACTGCTGCATCACTGGAACTCACTCCTGATCTTGAAAAGTCTTTTTATTCAGCTCCTGTGCCCTTTACTAAGGGCATCACTAGTAGTTTTGAAAAGGACACTTCTATTTGTGAATCCTCTGCTTCAATTCCCTATCACGCATAGCTTTTAAACCAGTACACACACAGAGCATTAAAACCAGGACAAATACAGGAAAAAGAAAAAAGGAGAAAAATAAGATTTGTTTTCTGTCAGAAGAATCTCTACTGTAACGTGGTGCCTCCTGAAATTAAGGACAAAGACATGGACCAGAATAATATTCTAAAAATGACAGCACACAAGAAGAATCTGCATTGATATGTAATATACAGAAATGTTCAGATTTCAATAAAGAACATACACTGTTAATTAGGCTTGAGTTGAAAATAATATCAAACACTCTGTGGGGATTAGAACAAAGACTGTGAGCATGCACTTACACTGAGAGTGATTTTAGTCAGTTTTTGTGGGTTAAAATTAATGAAAGGAGAGAAAGAGCCAATGGAATATGAATAGAAACAAAATTATTTAATTAACCAAAGTGATTTTTAGATGTATAATCAGTTTCAGAGCCTAACACTGCTTTCAATAGCTGTTTAAAACACTACTTGGTATGTTAAGCATTATGTGCATGCTTGAATGAAAGTAGGAATTTGGGATTTGGATTATTTCTTTGATCATTTAGGGTACGGCATCGCTGCCCCATATGTGCATTTCTGAATGGATGAGCAAGGCTGGTCACGTACATGTGTGGCAGTCACAGCCTTCACACACTAGGGAGCTCCAGGGCTGAAGGGAACAATCTGCAGGTTTGGTTTAAGTGAGGGACTCCCAGGCTGGGAACTGTTACAACTCAAATAATCCATCTCAAATAATCAGGCACAGAGATGGTGTTGCCAGACCATCTCTGGGTTTTACAAGTTTTTTCAATCCTGCGCTTCAAATGCACACAAGAGTTATTCTTCACATTTTATTTGCAGGCTTGGGTGCCACTCTGGAAATCATCTGATGTCAGTGGATGAGCATAGTTGATGTCTAAGAAGAGGTGCACAAGATACAGAAGTCCTTACGTCAAACTCTCCTGCTTTCACAGTGTGAAAGTGTCAAAATCAGTTTGAAATTCAATTCATCCATGGATAATATAAAAATTTCATAAAAATATAAGGTAAAAGTATACTACATAAGCCCACAGCATCAAAACATCCACAAATATAAATGCACAACATATCTACCTTCTTGTCTGGTTTCTGCACATTTTCTACATATTTGTGTAATGGAGACTTTCTTTAAAAAATGGCCACTGATTCAAATCACATAATCCACGATTTTACTTTGAAGACCAATCAACATGTAGGCAGCTACACTGTTATCTTCTCTATGAGCTCCCTTCCAGATTTTCATATGCTGGAAAGATTATAGCACCATATAATGAGCTACATGTACATCCATGCTATCTGACATCACTAGCCTGTATATACACACCCCTAAAAAAATAAATTGTGTATTCAGATATCTCAGCCTGTCTTCCTGGCAATAACTCAACCAATCTTTTCACTAGAAGCTCTCACCATCTTACCTCTTTCTCCTCAATTTGAACAGATATTTCCCATGTCCTCCCCAACACTACAGAATTATAAAGGGTGAGATGGAGGATTGTTCCTCAAACCCAGCTCATATATTCCTAGATTTATTTCAGTATACCACAAATGGGGAAAAAACCCAAACCAACCAGCCAACCAATCAAACAAACCACAAAACCCCCTCCCCCAACTCTATAAAAGTTTTTTTAATTGCCAGTTTCAAGTGACATTACAAGGAAGACAAATTTTGCAGTTACTACATCAAGGTAACAGTAAAGTGTTTGGGTTCTCCTTTACCCATTCATTTATGTTACACACTCCCAAATCATGTTAGAGAGATTCAAACACACATGACATAAAATAGAGGCTGACTAGTAAGATTTGTATGTATCCACTGCACATGCATAAGCTCAGTACATTCCTTTTAGATAGGTGAATCCTGAATACGAATCACAATGTGCACAATGAAAACACAAAACTACTCAACAGCCTGCAGAAATGCAGAGATGTTCGCAGTCTGAGCTTGCTTCTAGGACTGTTTGTGACTTTGAATGCTGAATTCTATACAGACACTTGAGATGTTCTACCAACATTTCTTTCTGAGTCCTTTCACAATATAGGAGAAGGAGTACTGTATTTCTAATTCTCTTTGAAAGGCTGATGGGATACCATGTTTGCAAATTGTGTGCAGTGAGACCAAGAACAGTCTGAGATGGTAATTTTTTTTGTAACAGTGCTTGGAGAGAAATTTCAATTGGTCAAACTCAGTAACTGCAGTTTCAACAGCATCAATTTGTTCATGTTCCTCTTAAAGAATCAGCATCAGCAAGGATACATTGATCTCGCACACTAACAGAATGTTCTTTTAGGACTGCTGAGAGGAGAATTAGGGTCAAGTTCTTTTTTTTTGTGTGCGTCTCTCACAAACTATTGATGTCTTCCAGGTTTTCCTGCAGTGTTCCTGTTTGTCTATCAGCATTGCCTGCCTCTTATCACATATTATGTATTTTCCCCCATTACTTGCTCTGGGACAGGATCATCTTGCTTGCACAAAGTTTAGCACAGCTGAATCCTGATTCATGATGCAGGCTCTGAGTGCTGAATATCATAAGAAAGAATCAAAAACTTCCAGGTGCTATTCCTTTACCATTGACCAGTTTTGAAGTATCAGGCAAGTCACTGCAGTAGTTCTGCTAAAAATAGGATAAACACCATCATTTATAGAGCAAGCAATAACAACTACTTTTGATAGTCTGCATTTTAGACCTGCAAAATAGTTAGAGGAATCAATTTTTACTAAAATAATTAGGTTTTTTATCACTGTAGATGCCAAAATAAATAAATGCTGACCAGAAGAGGAAAGATATATGGATTATTCAGATATCTCCAGATGAAAAAGGTTTAATGAAATCTGGTCTTGACCAATTCAGGAATTAATCAGAGTGGTGTTTAAACCTTTGAAAGTATATGGAGGACAGGAACAAGAAGAAAAGTGGAAGAAGGAATCACAGAGTAATTGTTGAAATCACAACCCACTCAAGTCCTAGAAAGGTTCTAGAGCAAATGATAGAGCAAACAATTTTCAACCACTGGGATATAACAGTCATAAGAGCTAGGAAAAGAACGTGATAAGTCAGGTCAATTTCTGTCTTTGATGGATTACTAGGTTCAATAGGTAACAGGAGAGAAGTAGATGTATTTCAGCTTGAATAAGAATTTTGACATGTAATACACAACTATATAAATATTAATGAAAGAAACAGTTTAAATGAAAACATCACGATGTTCACAACTGAGTGAAGAACATTTATTGGTGATTCGCTGCTGAAACAATTTCTACAGAGGAACAGATATCTGAAATATCCTTGAAGTATTTGTACTGGAAATAATTTTTTAAATGAATAATAATTCATTATATTTCCATTACAATGGAAAAAGAAAGACAAAAACTGTACAGATAGCAATCAAGTAAGGAGATACTGCCTGTAGATTCATGACCTGATCCTGTCCTCTAGGACTCCTGAGTATTATGGAAATAGTGGAATATAATAAGGTGATAATGACTTATTGACTCCAGAACAGTCAATAAGTTCAAAACTAGAAGATGAATCCAAAAATTCCTTTGAACTATTACAACTTGAGGGGAAACAAGTCACAGGTGCCAAGATAATCATCAAGAAAAACACATGATCTTCCTTTTCCCTGATGGCAATTTTAAGCAACTATGTTAACAGCAATTGCAAATAGGGCATGGTGAGTTTGGAAATACAGTAATGATATACTAGATATAGTAATGTATTGTAATGTATTACTAGATATAGTAAGGACAGTCTATTGGCCAGCATAGCTTCAGAGATGTATGCACAGAACACAGGAATCCTCCAGCCAGTCACATCTAAGAAGGTGCTTTGCTGGCAGATTGCCTGAGAAAGCACTTCCCAACACCACCTGGCATGAAAGCACCAACTAGAGAAATACAACCCAAGTGAGCCAGCAGGGCATATAGGAAGGAAACTTTTTACAACAATTAAATTCATTCAATTAAAGACCCATTTGACACTGTGAGGGGAAAAAAAATTCACCTAAAAACCAGCACAAGGTAAACTTCCTACACAATTAGGTTTTGTTTTCTATGTTTGGACGTTCAATCTGTCATCACAATGTCTTTGAAACCTTGTTTACAATGAAGACAGGTTACAATGGAGCAAAGGAGATAAAAGTTGGTGACAGACAAGGTCCAGAAAGGATTTTTATAGGCTGAAATCAATTTTATCTAGGAAGTCAGTGAAAAATCATGCTGCAAACTAATTCAAACCATGCATATATTTTTTCCTTTTGAACATTTCTGAATATTTTGGAATAAAGGGAATAGTTCTGGGCCTTCATACAACTAAATTGAAATTATAGTCAGAAGTTACATGAGTACTCAAAAATTATTTATTTTTCCAAATAGTTTGCTGAATTTTCTTCTCAGATATGCATTGCCATGTGGCAGGAGAAAAACCAAGGCTGACTGGAAGTTTGAACACAGGGCTGTTTGTGAGGCTAAATGTGAGAAATATGGGTTACACTATGCTTTGCTTTTGGCATCTAAGAAACTTGTCTGAGTGAACATACCTGCCAAAAGTTACATTAGCAACAAGGTATCTTGTGTCTGTGCCAACACATTTCCCTTCAAACATGGAAATAACTTACCCCACGTGTCTGGCCTTCACTGATACTTTGAAGGTTGAAACATATCTGCTGCAAATTAATTTGAGTTTTTGCTTTGGATGAAGGGACCAGTCTGCTGAATTGGCGGTATTTGGAGCACAAGGTGAGAGACTGAGAGAACTGGATTTGTCCTGACTTGAGAAAGAAAATAAGATCTTATGATTTTATTAATCTATATAACATGTGCTTCTAAAGAAGACAGAGCCAAGCTTCTGGAGGTGCACAGGAAATAGGCAATAAACCAATAAACACAGGCTGCAACCAAGGAAATTCCAGTTAGGTATTGGGAATTTTTTTTCATCATTAGAGTGGTCACAGACTGGAACAGGTGTGCAGGTGGACAAGGAGTCTCCATTCTTTCAGGTGTTTAAGACTCAACTGGACAGAGCCCTGAGCAGCCCAAGTTATCTTTGTAGCTGGATCTAATTTCAAAGTTGGATCTGCTCTAAACATGCCTGTTGGACCAGGCAGCTTCCAAGGATGAGTTATTCCCTGACAGAGAAAGCTGCTGCAAGGCTGCTCAGCTCTATTAGAAAAGTGCCTCACAAGAAACAGGCCCTGATCTTAACAGCATCAGCAACAAAACATCAACTTTTAGATGCTTTTCTCTGGCCCCATATGTCAGCAGGTTATTAAGAAGGGTTATTGCATTGCAGATATGCCCTAGAATCTGTTGTGCATTCTGTCAATGCACAAAAACTCCCTGAAGTTGTATTTTCTCAAATGGGAATTGTTCCTTCATGAGCACTGCTTCAAACACCTTACAAGAAAAGGGAGGTGCAGGCTTTGTTTTTCTACCTTGTACTGACAGAAGAGGACATCCTCGTTATACTTGCACTAGAATACGACAACTCTGAGTTGGTTTTATTTTTCTTTGTGTATGTTTGCTTTTGTTTTTAACATCCCTAAAAGCCTCCTACTGTTAGCACTAAAAACAAGCAAACAAACAAAAAAACCCAAACAGGATCTGAGCTTCACGTTACATTTGTATCCAGCATCTGCAATCTGATCTCAACAAAACAAGGGGTTTGTTTAGAATGAGTCTGGATTATAAACAAACAAGTGAAGAGTTAGAAGATACTCTCAAAGCACATACAAACCACACATTAAACAGACCCTGCACAGGACTTGGAGATTTTTCTTTAATACCCAGTTCTTCACAAAAACACTAAAGAAACTTGGGCAAGATATTTTGTTTTTCTCTGTTTTGCTTCTCTCCCATAAAAAGGAAAATGATACCACCTTTTTGCTACTCTTTGCCTTTCTAAATATACAAGGAGCTCTGTCCTGTTTCACTGTGAACTTACCAGCAATCAAGTTATCAAAAAAAAAAAAAAAGTATGGATAACAGATGGTGAGCAGAAAGAGAAAGAAAGAAAAAAAGCAAGGAGTCCCTTGCAAGTACACTATTGATTTGGCTTAATTGAAAAACTTCTGACTCTTGGAGGGTGAAGGCTTTCTCCACATTCTTACACAGCACTGTCTGTCTGTTGTGCCATCCAGACTGTGTCCCAAAGTCCACAACAAAAGTCTCCTTCCAGGAAGGCTTCTTTTACAAGAAACAACATTTCCCACTGAGATCCAGATTGAGAAACACAATCCCCTAGGATCTGTGTGAGGAATCTGATGGAATCTAAGCCAGTGGCACAGAAAGCAGACACCTGACACATGAGGACAGGACACTGTGTCACATGAACACACATTGTCAGTTCGTCTCATCAGTTTGCATAAATCTGCAGAGCTGCCTTTGGGTTCTAAACCAAAATTCCACATGCAGGTAATGC